TTTAATTTAAGAAAACTGTCAAGTATATCTATTAATGTACTGGTACTTATGCGCTTTTCACTTGTCGCTCGTGAACTGGTTAGATTTGTAAAAATTTACAAATTTGCACTGTTAGAGTTACAGAGAGTAAATGTCATGAATAAATTTGACATTAAACACAATCCAAGTTAAAGTGTTGCATCATTTTCAACCCCCTTTTGGCCATCTGCATTTGGTAACGAGCCAAATTGACAAAGACTTGCAGAATAATGTAGTATTTTAATTCCACAGCAGAGAACGCTGTGTAGTCGTAAGTAGGTCTAGGGAAAAAAATATCGGTATTGGTATCGGTTATCAGGCAAATAAGTTTTAACATATCGGACATCGGCCAAAAATCTAATATTGTGCATCCCTATGTCAAATAGTTGCGTAAACAAAGAACCGGATGCGTGATTCTAGATTTACCCCTGAATCCCGGGTCGTACCGCAACCACCGGATTTTTGTCCAGACACGAACTAACGCAGACGTTATTTCTACCTCCGATGTTTTCAACAGAGCGTGTGGTGAGAAAGAACCCCTGAGAAGAGAAGGAAGTACGGCGGAAAGAAAAATGAATATATTGGGATAATCGTGCACACTTGTGCACACTGTACGGTTTGCGTCCGCGATCTCAAAGTGGCAGCTTCCAGGGTTTATGCTGTTAAAGAACATTTCGACGTTATATGTATGTTGTTTTAAATAAAGATTGTCGTGTGAGAGTACCAAGAGTTTTTTGTGATTTTACGGACACGGGTAGACATCCACAGGTTGACGTGTATGGACACGGTTTATATCAACGCTTCCATCATGAGCGATAATGTAAATACTGCCAACTAACAGACACCACCAGACTGGGCTCTGGTTCGCGCTGATGTTGAAACCGCAGACGACGAGCGGAACAATCGGGCTGTCACGACGAGCGCGTCGGGACTGAACGCTCCTGTGTCTTCTCATTCATTCATCTTCTGCTTCTCCATATAGGCACACGTGCAGCTCCTCCTGGGGGATCCGAGATGGTCCCAGGACAGAAAGGTTATAAAATCCCTCGTGTTCTGGGTCTGCCATCTCCTCCCAGTGGGACGTGCCTGGGAACCTCCTCCTAAACCACCTCTGCTGGCTCCTTTTGATGAGGAGGAGCAGCGGCTCTACTAACGTTGGAGCTCCTCCCCTTCTCTGGAAGGCTGAGGGATCCACGCTCACAGGTAAGAACTGGAACCAGACGGACACCTTCGCCTTTTTTACTGCACAGAAAACCCAGAGGCTAACGGAAAAACATTAATGAAACTTTTTGGAGCGCGACAAAGACCACCTACTGAGTCGACCGCCTCCACCACTGAAGCCAGCATCGAAGACAGGCAGGAGTCCAGCTGATCCACCCGGCTGGCCCCCCATGACATGACAACAAATCCAGTTTTTGGTGCTGACCCGCCTCCTGCTCTTTGTCATCCCTGCACGAGCAGCCCGGACCCACAAACATCACATCCTGCCTGCGTGTGGCGAGGTTAATAAGATCGTCCGTCCCGCCGTTCAGCTCTTCTTCTGCCAGGACATAAACCAAACTCTGGCCCCGGCCCGATAAACCCCCCATCATGCCGAGCGGCACTTCTGCCACCGGGCTGGATAATCTTTATCTCGGGCCATCGGCTCCCTCCATTGACCCATAAACCGGTTCACTGCCTTCCTCACGGCAGAAAACGAGACGGACAATCAGAAAAACGCCACCCAGTCATTAGCATTTTAATTTCAGGCCAGGGTTCGTCCGACCCGAAGCACTTTACAGTAAAGAGCTGTCAGACGGGACGAAGCTTCGTTGTAGATTATTTCTTTAATCAGACATTTACTGCAGATGTCTTTAATATTCGAGGCATGGAACAGAAAATACCTTTAGGTTTTAGTGTCTGATCAACTTTAGACACGATTCTTCCAGTTTTGTTTCTTAATAAACACAAGTTTTATATTTTGGTGTCATTTGGGCATACACAAGTATGAGCTTATTTATAACTGAGAAATGAAAATACAACCCCGGTTCTTAAAACGTTGGGTCGTTGTGTAGAGCATAAAAACGATGCAACGATTCACACGTTTCATAAAAAAGGTAGTAAATGTATCAAATGTTTAAATGAAGAAATTGCACCAATTTTAAGAAAAGTCACGTTTGAATTTTCTGGGAAGATGTCTCAAAAAGGTCAGGACAGTCCAACAAAATAACAAAAGTGAGTAGTACAAGAAAAAACAGCTGGAGGAACATTTATAAATAATTAGGTTAATTTTCAACAGGTCGGAAGACTTGGTGTCTAAAAGTAAGAGTAACAATTTCAGAATAATGCTCTTCAACAGATAGGCCTGTCACGATAACCAATTTTGCTGGGCGATTAATTGTCTCAAATTATTGCGATAAACGATAATATTGTTTGAAATTTGACAATAATTAGTAATTAATGTCAAATTTAAGAAGAAATGTTTGTTAATATTTGCGTGTAGTACCTTTTTTGACCACTGGATGGCAGTATAAGACTGAACCGAAGGATGGATAGTGAGGGAGCGAGCAGTGTCTCTTCAAGAAAAATGGGAGGGAGGCCCCTTGACGTGACATGGGCTGTCTCTCCTTCCCGTTTTTCCGGTTCTCAAGATGGCGGACGCTCAGTGTGGTCTGAGCTCTTTAACATAGCATTTGTCACACAAAGCTTTTAATAAAAATCAGTAAACAAGTTCTCAGCTTCTTTATGCAGCGAAAACAACTTTTTACACGAACTTTCTACTGTGAATTTTGGAGCTTCGACAAGAAAGACAAAGTTTTTTTTTTCCACAAAGTCAGTCTGTTAGCGTAGCTCGTAGCTTAACTTCTCAAATTAGCTGCTTGTAACGATCCAAAAACACGATTTTGGACGGTTAAAATAGATTTTAAAGAGAAAAAGAAAGAGGGGTCAGTGAAGAGCACCGGAGTTGAGCCTTTTGTCATCCAGTGTCTTCAGAAGAAAGAGAGACACGAAAAAACGATAAAGCCGATAATATTAATTGATTTATTGTTCATCGCGACAGGCCTACCAACAGAACATTGGGACGACTTTGAATCAGTTGATTATATGAAAAGATTTAAAGAATCTGTAGAAACGTTGAGCTTAAAGGACGAGGCTGAAGAAAGTCAGTATTAGATGGTCGTGATCTTTGGGCCCACTTTGTTAAAACCAGGTCTGGTTCTGTTCTGGGCTCAGGAACAGTTCATCCACTAAAGCTGCTTAAAGCTCTATCAGACAAAGAAGAAGCCAGATGTGAACACCATCCAGAACCGCTGCCGTCTTCTCTGGACCAGAGCTCGTTTCAAACGGTCTGAGGTGAAGTCCAGAACTGTTCTGGAGTCAGACAGATCCAAACTGAAATGCTTTTTTGGACACGACCGCTACATTCGTTACTAAAGAAGAGCGGAACCATCCAGTCGGTTATCTGCACACAGTTCAGCAGCCTGCCTCTCTGATGGTATGGGGGTGCATTAGCACCTCTGCATGGGCAGCATACACATCTGGAAAGGAGGCTTCATTGTAAAAACATATAAACAGGTTAAAGAACTGCTCCCCTCCAGATGACGTCTGTTTCATGGAAGGCCTTGATGCTAAACTGAGTCCGTTACAGCAGCTTGGCTTCAAGTCGGAGAGTCCTGGTGCTGAGCAGACCCGGCTGCGGTCCAGACCGCTCACTGATTAAAAACATGGTGCAGTGTGAAACAAAAGAATCCAAGACTGTTGGACGGATAGAACCAGACCAGAACGGGACAAACCCTCCACTAACTGGTCTCCTCAGGTCCTGGACGTTCAGACTGTCAGGGAAAAAAAGGTGCTTCACAGAGGGAACCCGGAGCAACTTCAAAAAGATTATTTCGTCCGAAAGACGAAACGTTTCTTCCAAAAAAGAGAAACTGTCCAGATGACATTTAACTTTTTTGTGATTCGAGATTGTTGTTGTCAAGAAAAGTTGCGAACTGTTGCACTTTAACATTTGACACGATGTTCCAACCGTTTCAGCTGTGCGTGGACCATTTTAGCTGTTAACCTCTTCAGCCTTGAGCTCGGCTGCTAACGAGTCAAACAGAAGCCGATGGATGAAGACGGGCGAGACTTGGAGGGGCCGGTCGGTGATTAGAGGATGGGAGGGAAGAGCGCCGGCCTCTGAGGGGCTAGTGTCTGTCTGAGAGTCCTTGTGGAAAAAAACCCCTCAGAAACAAGAACCCACTGTCACAGTCTCTTAGCAACCGTCTCCGTCTCCCAGGTGACAGGGTCTGACATTACTTCCTGTTGCACGTGTACACACAAGTAGCTGCACGAACTGTCGCTCCAGTGAGGTTCGGTGAAGTTCATCTGGCTTTTGGCTCGTCTTGTTCTGCAGCTTCAGCAGCGCCGTGATGTTCGGGCGGCGCTCGAACCAAACCAAACCCGAGGTCGCGCTCCAGAAGCAGACCGAGCGTCTATATGTAGCCTGCGGCGTGTGCGCATGCGGCCAGCCTGATTGTACGTCCTGCCAACAAAAGCCATCTGGTAGGACTAGTTGGCACAGAAAGGCCCTCTACGGTTCCTCGACATATTGCTGTAGTTAAAATTAACACTGTAACAGATAGTTCTGTCTTTTTCTGCCAGATCTGGCACAGAAAGACACGGAGCGGTCCGTTACCGCGTCTATTTCAGTGTCTCTGCCTCACCTTTGGACTCTGAGCGGCAGGAAGAGACTTCAGCCGAGCGCACGAACGTTTCACGCTTCAAACTACAGAAGCTCAGTCTCCACACTCTGAGACTTTATTCTAGTCCCAGAAACCAACTTGATGAATTATTAAGTGAAGGAAAGATGACAAAAATTAAATCTGGATGAGAAGAAGGAGAAATCCTAAATAAAAGGGAAAAATAAAACACTGTTTGGGATTTTAATTATAAAACCAGTAGATGAGTTTAAAGAGATTTAATTGACTCAGTCCAGCACAGAGAATACGTGCGCTCGCAGTTTGTGACCATTTACATAAAAAAATACCCAGGATGCTCATAACTTCAGTCCATAACTGCTGCTGTTCGGCGCTTTAATAAAAAAAAATAAAAGTGTCTCCTAATAACTCCAAAGAAAGAAACAGCAGCTGCTCAAGTCCAAACTGGAAGAAGCTTCAGCTTTAAATCCAGTTCCAGAGCGGTCACCGCTCCGTCACATGAGGTCCAGGAGGATCTCATCGTCTATGACACCGGAGACCTGGGACATGCCGGGCTGGGGGACCGGTCCCCTCTGAGCTGCAGACATCAGCATCTGACCTGCGACCAGAAACAGACGGTCAAAACCAACAAAAGCAAAGTGTCCTTCAATAAACAGCTCAAAGTTCATTAGCTGGACAAGCTGAAATAGAGCTGTTGAAGCTCAGTAGCAAAAAGCTAAAAGTAGCAAAAGGCTAGCTAAAGCTAAAAGTAGCAAAAGGCTAGCTAAAGCTAAAAGTAGCAAAAAGCTAAAAGTAGCAAAAGGCTAGCTAAAGCTAAAAGTAGCAAAAAGCTAAAAGTAGCAAAAGGCTAGCTAAAGCTAAAAGTAGCAAAAGGCTAGCTAAAGCTAAAAATGGTATGAGAAGACAAAAATAGAGCAAATTTGCTGAAGCTAATCTTAAAGACAACGATGCGTTTGAAGGAACTAAAAGTGTTTCTACGGCAAGACTAAATATTTTAAAAAGGATAAAGTCATAACACACGGTGAGGAGTAGCTAAAACAGTTTTAGGTGCCCAGAAGCAGTTAGGTTGGATAAAAACAAACGGTAAAATGAAAAGAAGTTAATAATGTAAACGCTGTATGGAGCATTAAAATATTTTACAATTAACCTCTGAACTGTTCAGACTTTTGTTTACAGTCCAGCCTGAATCGCAGACAAGTAATTGAAATAAAAAAAATACATGTTTATGGATAAAAAAAATAAATAATGTCTCTAATAAAGTCCATTCTGAGTAAAATGGGGCAACGGTGGTTGTTGATGTTTTTTAAGTCGATAAACTAAATTATAAAGAAAACAAACGAGGCAACAACAAAAACAATGTTTTCATAATTTGATCTCTGGAAGCTGATATTAGATATAAACAGTGGAGTTCGACGAGTTAATTCGTGTCTGATGAGTCCGGTTTTTCAACCGGTCTGAGCTCGACAGAAGACCAGGAACAAAGATCTAATCAGGGTTTCGCTGGAAACCCGACGTGTAGCTGGGTTCACATGTTCCTCCTCCATCAGTGGAGCGCTCACCTGGCATCGGCTGCCTCCACTGGTTCTGCATTTGAGGCCCCCCTCCTGGCGTGGAGTGGACCAGCTGCGGTCCTAAACCTTGGTGGGACATCATGTTTGGCATGTGAGACACGGCGCTCTGCTGCTGGGACACACAGGAGCGTTAACCTCTGCCGACCTCCGGGGGTTTGAACCCGACGTTGGTGGAACTTACCGGCTGCTGGCTGAGGAGGAGGCTGCGGAGCTGCGGATTGGCTCCTGGGTTAGGGAGGCGCAGGATGGAGCCCGGAGGCTGGGCCTGCCCGCTCTGCGCCACCTGGTTGGGCGGGGCTCCGCTGACCGCCGGCTGCTGATTGGTTGGTCCGGCTGCTCTCATCGTCATCTGGAAACATTTTGAGGAACAGAAATTTTTTTTAAACTCACATTTAATAATCTTAGAATAAATTCAGCCTTTTCACACGTCAGCTAAACTAAAGATGACCAATAAATTCAAAAACTAAAGAAAATGCCTTAAAACCACTAAAAGCTCAATGTAGCAAGATCATAAAGCTACAGTTAAAAAACTGCAGCAAAAAGCTAAAATCAGCTAAACGGTAGTTAAATGTTAAAATTGGCAAAGCTGTAGCTCAAAGCTAAATGTAGCAAAACTGAAGCTAAAACCAAAAAAACAGCCAAACAGTAGCTAAACAGCCATTGGAAAAATCTTTTTTAAAAGCTAAAATTAGCAAAACGGTAGCTAAAAGCTAAAATGAGCACAGGGCAAAAACAAGGAACTGAACAATTCTCTGTAAACAAGCAGCACGATGTCCCAGATGCTGAGAGGTTTGAACAGTGAGTGTTTGTAGTTTTTTAGATGTTTCTGGACTTAAATGGGACAGGGAATGAAGAAAACCTGAATGTTTTTGGTGTTAGATGTTCAGCTGAGCAGAGTTACACCGTGGAGCAGAGGTAGTTTTTATTTATTTATTGTCTGAGGCAGCGCAGCGTGACGGATCCTGGTGAGTGGAGGGAGACATTTAATCCACCACTAGGTGCAGTGGTGGAGCCAGGGGGTGGCCAATGGTGGCCTTGACCACTATACATCTTCACATATGACAAATCTTCAGCCACCCCAATCATTTCATAAAAATATACTTTAATATAAAAACAAGAATGCAGTTTCCTCAAATGATGGAGGTGGCCATGTTGGATTTTGAATTAACAACCCAATTTTAAATGGTAACCTTTCTTACACCTAAAAGAAGCCACACGCCAAAAAGGAAGTCAGCACCTCGCTTATTTTTGAAGTTCTGCTCACAACATGCACGGAGGGTATTTCCAATTCCCCGTCTTCGCTCCACGACGAGGGACAATAAAAGTAAATAATTCACTAAATAAATGTTCAGTAACGTGAATTACATAAAGCTGAGAAATGAAACCAGATTTACTGACGTGGGGTTTGTCGAGCGAACACCGTTGTTATTGAATAAATAAACGTATACATGGAGGTTTTAATAAAAACATCTGTATTAGCAGAATGGGAAACATTTAACAGGAAATGTCAGAACATGCGCCAGTCCAACGATCAGCCCAAAAATAAATTTAAAAAGCTATTCTTTTTATGTTTTACTTTTCGTCATCGGTTGTTCTCTAGACGTTCTGAAGCTCTTTCAAAATTCTTTTTTGGACTTCAACTGTTCTCCAGTTACAGGGGCATCACTCTCCTTACCTCCCTGGTAAAGTCTATTCATGGGGACTGGAGAAGTCCGATCGTTTGTTTAACCTCAGATCCAGGAGGAACAATGTGGGTTCCGTCCTGGTCGTGGAACACTGGACCAGCTCTTTACCCTCACTAGGGTCCTCGAATGGTCATGGGAGTTTGCCCATCCAGTCTACATGTGTTTTGTGGACTTGGAGAAGGCGTTAGACCTTGTTCCTCGGGGTACACTGTGGGGGGGTGCTCCGTGTGGGATTGGGGGCCCATTGTTACGGGCTGTTCAGTCCCTATACAAGCAGAACGAGAGTTTGGTTCTCCTTGTCAGCAGTAAGTTGGACTCCTTCAGGGTGGGAGTTGGACTCCACCAGGGCTGCCAGTTGTCACCGATTCTGTTTATAACTTTTTAGGACAGAATTTCTCGGTGCAGCCAGCGGGTGGAGGGAGTCCGGTTCAGTGGCCTCAGGATTCCATCTCTATTTGCAGATGATGTGGTCCTGTTGGCGTCATCGTGCCGTGATCTTCAGCTCTCACTGGAGCGGTTCACAACAGAGTGTGACGCGGCTGGGATGAGAATCAGCACCTCCAAATCTGAGGCCGTGGTCCTCAGTCAGAAAAGGGTGGATTCTTTTGAAGTTCGAGGGTGAGGTTCTGCCTTAAGTGGAGGAGTTCAAGTATCTCAGGGTTTTGTTCACGAGTGAGGGAAGAATGGAGCGTGAGATGGAGATACGGATTGGTGCAGTGTTTGCAGTATTGTGGACTCTGTACCGGTCCGTTGTGGTGAAGAGAGAGCTGAGCTGTAAGACAAAGCTCTCCGTTTACTGGTTGGTCTACGTTCCTCCCCTCACCTATGGTCATGAACTCTGGGTAGTGATTGAAATGATGAGATCGTGGATACAGGAGGTTGAAATGATTTTCCTCTGCAGGAGCTGGACTCTCCCTTAGAGAGAGGGTGAGAAGTTCAATTATCAGGAGAGACTCAAAAGTAGAACCGCTGCTCCTCCATATCGAGAGGAGTCAGTTGAAGTGGTTCAGGCATGTACGACTGGGAGGAGACCCCGGGGAAGGCCCAGGACACGCTGGAGAGACGATGTCTCTCGGTTGGCCTGGGAACACCTTGGAGTCCTCCCAGAAGAGCTGAAAGAGGAGGCTGTGGAAAGAGATGTTTGGACCTCCTCAAGCTGCTGCCCCGAGACCCGACTTCAGAACAAGTTCACCACTTGCTCTTTCCGAGATCGGATGCTTCTCCCCTTCCCTCTCTGCTTTGCTGCTCTGTCTGTCTGTGAAACTGCTTGTGAGACTCTTGCATTTCTTCTGAACCATAATTATAGACCTGTTTTGATCAGTTGGTCCCTCAACTCAATTTACAACATTTCTTCGAAGAGAAGACAGGCTTTAGGCGAGCCGATTTGCCCTGTTGGCACGCAGCTGGATATCTCATCGACTGGAAGACTTGATGATGTGTCTACCTCTGCTGCCATTTGTGGATTTTAAGGACGCATATTTAATTGGATTTTCGATAACTGGTTCCTACTTTTTGGATTCGGCTGGTTGCTCGTTTTATTAATTGATCAAGGAAGTCATCGGCAGCAAATCTGAACCCGATCATGCTGCTTGCCTGCTTGGTTCGTGCCTCGAGTACCCAGACTCAAATGCTCTGGGCAGAATGGATCAGATCTTGGGGATTTTACTCAGTCACGTTCCATCGGTGTGGTTGTGTATTTTGGACATTTCAGAACCAAGTGGACCAACACAGACTGAAGGTAAATGTCATTAAGTTCTGCCTGTCCCTAAAACAACTGTGTGTTTATCTGAATTTGGCTCCCTTGGCTGGCCTTGAAGGTCATCTTATCTGAATTCGCCTGGAGAACATGTGATCTGACGCTCACCACTCCCTCCCTGAGGAATTTCCAACTGAGAACCAGATGAAACCAGCTGAATAAACTTTGTGTCATCATTTCAGGACTCTTGGATTCTCGTAGATGTAATTCTTGGCCATTCCTCGACATACCTCGAGAATGTTTATGGATCTCACTGGAGGACATTGACTGATTATTACATCCTTATCAGAACTCTTACAGTGACCTCGAGAGTATCTATGATCGTGCTCACCGCTCTCGGCTCCCCCCTCTGCAGAATGTCTGTGTCACTATGTGCTTGTTTGTGCGAGGTGGTTTTTTTTTTAATATTAGGTGTTTTTTTTTTTCTCAGGCAGGAAAAAAAAGTCTGATAGGAATTTTTTTTCACCTCCAACTCCTACATGTGTCCAGTTTACCACTGTTTGTCTGTCCAAACAGGTCTCACTTGTAAATGAGTCTTTTAGGCTCAATGTGATTTATCTGTTTAAATAAAGGTTGAATGAATGAAAGAAAGTGGAAGATGATGGATGGATGGATAGATGGATGGATGGATAGATGGATGTCGGCGGGTGGACGAATTTTGGCTGCTTTTCCCCTCATTTTCGTTTGTTAAAGTAACTACTTGTAAACACCTAATGGTGTCAATATGGATCTTAATGTGTTTCTACGAGGAAATCTGTAAATAAACATTTTAAAACATCTAAAAAGGCACAGCCTCCACATCTCCTGAATGTCTGATAAATGAATGGTTAAAAAAAAAACAGAAAAATAAACAGTTGCAGAATCATGTAAATGCTGAACCCCTCCCACAGTAAGAAAACTTTAGTAAAAATAAATAAAATGTGTAAAAGTATTTGAACAAAGACCCGTTTGTTCAAAACTTGTTCTCACCATGTTGTTCTGCCTCTGCTGCTCCTCCATTATGGAGACCTGACTAACGGGGGACATGCCCACCACCACAGACTGGAAGTGGGACAGATCAGATAGGGGGGGGGGGGGGGGGGGGGGAGTGGGGAGGGGGGGGGGGGGGGGGGGCAGTAATTCAGTAAGGTGTGCAGCCGAGCAGTCAAGGTGCTCTCAACGGGCAGAGGAACAATAAAAACCAGGAAGTGGCTCCATTTACCTGCTGCTGGACGTTACCGTGGGAAACGGAAATGGGCCCAGGCGCTCTGTTCAGAAAGTTCGGGTTGGGGGGAACTTGACCGGGCTGCATCGGCCCCCCTGCTCCACCCATTTGCTGCACCAAAACGACAACAAAATACAACAGATTTTAAACAAACACAGATTCATCTCATTTTACAGCTGCTGTACTTAAAGAAAAATACTTTATATATTAAATATTATAATTAAAGAAAAAGACTTTAAATATTATAATTAAAGAAAAAATACATTAAATATTATAAAGAAAAATACTTTATATATTAAATATAATTAAAGAAAAAGACTTTAAATGTAAATAATATTATAATTAAAGAAAAAAAGACTAAATATGAATTATTATAATTAAAGACATAAATTAGCACGGACCACCCGCTGCCATTAGTCTGAAACCATCAGTTAAATCAGAGTTAAAATCATTTTGTTCAAACATGAAAAAAAAAAAGTCCCGATTTGTTCTCATGATGTCATCAGCTTAGAGTCCGTGTTGGGAATGACCGTACTTTGATTGCATTTTTCTTTAAAAATATATTTCATTAGAGCCGTTTTAAATATATTCGAGTCTATTTGTACTCCAGAACCTCACAATTGTAGGTAAAAATAAAACAATTCGTCTACAATGATTGAGTTTGAAAAGAAAATATTTGGACAATTCGTGTATTTTTCTTCCAACAGTCCGCTGCTCTCTGCATCCTGACAGTAATTACACATTAAATGTTTATTTTCTCCCATAAAATGCTCATTCTTCATTGATTTATCAGCAGAACATAAAAATAGTTTACAGCGATCTTCAAGAAGTCTCACATCTGACAGTAAAAATAATTCCTGACAAACACTAATATGAGCAAGAAAACGAGGTTTGAAGTTGGAAAAGCTTCAGACTCCGCCCCCATAAATCCTAACCATGGGCTGTTTTGATACACTCCTCCTGCATGCGTAAAGTACATTTACCAAACACATATTTGCTTTATGTAATTGGTGTTTACTGTGCTAACAATGCCGGGAGTGTGAAGCTGCGTTTTCACCTACTTTAGTCGAGAGCAGATGGAAAGAGAAAACAAACACGGAGGATAACGTCACTTTAACTTCAAGCACCACCTGCCGTGTTCACCAGCTCACCGTTTACAACAAACTGCAGCTCGACGACCGGAGTCGCCTGCAAAAAGTGGAGCGGGGAACATCACGTACGACATCTGTTTGCACTTAAACGCAACAGTAACGAGAAAAGAGACGTCCTGCTTTTGTTCCTTCAGCTGAGCGCTGAAGTCGTCGTTCTCCTTCGGTGCTTTCAGCCGGGACTTTAACAGGAGTCACCGAAGAGCGGCTAAGAACAATAAAAATGTAAAAGATGGCGGCGGTCAAATTTTTGAAGCAAACGGCATCATTTTTAGAAGGAAAAACATCAATTTGATGTCATGGAAGTACCGTATTTTTTAACCTATAAGTATAATTTACATGCCCTGCGACTTATTACATTTTTTTTTTCCATATTCATAAACAAATTTTTGGCTGAGACACGACCGTTTTCATTCATACTCACTGAAAATGTTGAACACTACCATTTTCAGCCACTAGATGGCACTCGAGTAGTATGGCATGCCGTTGTGCCATATAATAGGTAAAAGCAGCTATTAATGACGCAATCGGCTTGCCATAGTTGGCCACCTTTGTCCGGCTCGCCTGGAGGAACCGTCAAATCAGCTTCGTTTCGCTGCGCCGCATTCATCATTCCTGATGTGTAAGCTGCGGCCATGCGGTCCGGCCTTGGTCCACTCGGCTCGTGCAGAGCGTGCACGAGGCGTTACAGCGGGTTCATGCCTGAGTGAGTGCAAGACATCCTAACAAGCTAACGCTAACTAATGCTAGCTTGTTTACGGTTCTTTGAAGTCGTGCCCACAACCGGGCCAGTGAACCAATCAATGCCATGCTGACGTCACATCTTAGGCACGAGCCGGTCGCACACAACCCCCCGGGTCTCTGGGTACCAAAAACAGCTCGGAGTGGACCAGACCACCCAGTGCAAAGAAGCAGAACTTGGGCTGGGCCAACCCAGGCCAGGCCTTACAGCACAAAAGAGCCATATTGTACCCCTATGCCATCAGAGAGGCTGGCTTTGCCTCTTTGATGGCACACTCCCATTTAGATGGTTTTTCCACATTTCAGCAAGACAACACTGAACCGTACACCAGGTCCAGAACAACAGCAGCGTTTTGTAGCAGAAGAGTCTGGGAGCTGAACCGGTCCAGACCTCTACTAATTAAAAACATCTGATCCAGCAGAGCCAGGACTGGATCAACTGGAATCCTCCATCAGACCAGAATGGGACATTTCCCTCTAAACATGCGGTCTCCTCAGGTCCTGGACGTTTAAAAGAATTCACACAGAACAACTCGGACCTGGAGCAACTTGTGCGTACACCTTTAAGTTCTAAACTACCTTAAAGAGATTTATTTCAAATCCTTTGCTTCAATATTTAAAACGTTCAGGTTCCATTCTAAATAAATTACGGGTTGATGGGATTTTCAAATCACCACATTCTGTTTTCGTTGACATTTTACACAAAGTCACAACTTTTTCTGGTTTTATTAACAAGTTATTTTCCTTTTTTAAACGTCATTGATCTGAAGTATTTGTAGAACCTGACTGGACGTAATGGAAAATTATTTTAGGTACCACTTTTTAGGGCTACAGGAAGAAGAGCGGTGGACACTTTGCAACCCACCCTAAAAGTGGAATATGATCCTGATTGCGACGCTTTATTTTGACTCGCTTCTTTAGTTTTTAAAGAATCTTGGATCAGTCACCGATCCGGAGTTCTTTTGTGCGTTTCAGTCCTGAAAGGGAGAGAAGTGAAGGGCGTTTCATCTCCTCGCCGAGCAGAAATGATTAACTTCAGGCTCAGGGACGTGTGATGGGAAAACACCTTCGCCCATCCATCTTACTGAACGTGAACGATTCACCGTGGGATTGGGCTCAAACGCGGTGCGCTCTCTGACCAACAACCGGACTGAACCGCACGGCTCCGGGTCTTTTTTAAAGAAACGGTAAAACAGCTGTGTGCGTTTCCTCTGCTCTCCGTGATTCAGCTCCTGCCGTCAGCTCGGTAACCAGAACCATCCTCCACCAAGAGCCTGCATCGTGTCAGTGGGGTAACGGGCAATTGTGTTTTTGCTTGTGTGTACGTTTGTGTCTGTACCCCAAATTGATATAAGTCAGTCATTTTTACAAATATTGAGTAAATCTTCTGTAGGACCTGAGAGTTGAACCCAACACACAGTTCAAGAACTAATTGATCGCACAAGATCTGCTTTTAAATTCTGCCGCTAACTACTGGAGTCAGCTCTGTTAGCAAAATATCTCATGAACCACTGAACCGATTTTATTGAAACTTTCAGAAAGTGGACATATATCTGTAATCATTAAAGTGGCATGCAAGTCCTACAACTAGGCCTGTCACGATAACTAATTCTGCTGGGCGATTAATTGTCTCAGAAATTATTGCGATAAACGATAATATTGTTTGAAATTTGACAATAATTAGTAATTATTGTCACATTTAAGAAGAAATGTTGATTCATTTGCTTTGAGTGTAGTACCTTATGACCACCAGATGGCAGTATAAGACTGTTTGAACAAAAGGATGGATAGTGAGTGAGTGAGCAGCGTGTGTCTTTAATAAAAAAGGGAGGGAGGCCCCTTGACATGACATGGGCTGTCTCTCCGTTTTTAGTTCTCAAAATGGCGGACGCTCTGTGTGGTTTGAGCTCTTTAGCATGGCATTTTTCACACAAAGCTTTTAATAAAAAAAAAATCAGTAAACAAGTTCTCAGCTTCTTTTGGCAGGAAAAAAAAACTTTTTAGACGAAGGCACGGGTTTCAACTGTGAATTTAGGAGCTTTGACAAGACGGAGGTTTATCGCGACAGACATACCTATGAATACAAAAAGTGGAAGAAAATAACTTGATATTTAAGAAATTTGGCACAATACATGATTTTACCCATCTCGTCACATAACTGGCATTTTTTTTAAACTTGACGTGGACAAAAGTGAAACAGGAAGTGACATCAAAGGGGAACTCTAAAAGTGTTCTTTGTTTATTGCAACTATCGTATTTGAACTTGACTCCTCTCTCCAATGACTCAATATAATCTACAGAAACATTTGATTCTTATCTACAGTCTGACGTTAGCCATTGCAGCAATGCTCTGTTTACATACAGGCATTCCCCTTTGACATCACTTCCTGTTACCGTGCACACAAATATCTAAACAACCGTTCACCTCAGCGCCGTGAATTTTATTTTGCAATACGTAATTAATATTATCTTTCAAAAAATCCATTTTGTATTTATTGTAAAAATTTGACGTCACAGGAACTTTAACATCTGGAGCTCACCCAATTCAAGATGGCCACCACAGCTAATCCGCCTTCCAGTCAAACTAGCTGAGAGTCATCCTCAACACATACTCTGAGCATTAACACATCTAATGCTCAAGTGGCTGTGGCGGCCATCTTGAACTCCTCCATCCTAAAAGGCGGCGGGTGACAAGCATCCCTTTAAGGAATGCCAGGCCTTCATATAATTCTGACGTTCTGTGAAAGGAACAAACTGGAAATGTCGCTCATTCTGAACGCCACTCCGGGCTTTCCACAGTAAACCTTAAGTACTGGTGCACATTGAAATTTTAATTACGTTACGATTGCTGTAGCTCTTCCTTATTAGCAATGCAGCTCTGAATATGTGATGATACACAAGAGGCAAGGAAAAAAAAGTCTTCATTAAAATTTCATGTCTTCTGCCTTCTCTAAACGCCCCGATGCTCACCCGAATTACGAGCCACATATCGGGCTCGATCTCTGTCTCTCTCGCAAGGACGTAAATTTAGCAGGGCGCGCAGACGAGCGCCATCGACACTGATGAGAGCGGAGCACGAGCAGGAATGTAATCCGACTCGTGTAAAGTCGACATGAAGCTTTATTTTTTAAAGAGTAACATGCTGCTCCTCTGGCAGGTTGTTGCATTGTTTAACAGCCGTGCAGCACCTCTCCTGGAGGAGACACGATTTAAATCAGCCCATGCGGAGCGAAGAAGATGAGCAGAAGAAGATGGTGAAATTTTTATGGCATACGGACAAGGAGAGAAAGTTTGGAGCGTGTGATGAAGTCTACCTGAAACTGCTGAGGTCTAAATGAGGAACCATCAGGTTTCCTCATCAGGTCCTGAAAATTGGCACAAAACGCCACTTCCTGTAAACAGCATGAGACGTTTATTCAGATCTGTGTTTAGTTCCAGGCTGAAGATTTCAAATACACAGCTTCTAACAACGCTGCCTTCAAGTAGTCCCTCGTTTCGTACAGTAGGCCTTCTCCTACTCTTTCCTGGAATATCTTGTAAAAAGATCTGAAGCTCTCGACCTCTAAGTAGCTTCAAACATCTTAAGTTCCTGGCAAAAACCAACGCAGACATGTTCCTGTTTTTAGTTTTCTACACCGCCTTATAATCTAGCTGTTTATTTCGCTTCTTTTCCTTTTGGTTGCCATTTTATTTTAACTTGTTAAAGAAAATTATAATAAATTTGTATGCCTCTGTTATGACTGCCTATTGTTTGTCTTTGTTGTCATCTCTCTTGTAAATGAGTCCCTGAGGCTCAATGGGATTAACCTGTATAAATAAAGGAATGGATGAATGAATGTATACCTGGATCATTGAGCATGGACTTTGTTGTTTTCAACCAGTTTGACAAGACTCAACAAGGACGAGGGCCGGCAATGGAGGAGGGGGCGTACCAAAGAGACCATCTTATCACAAGCAGAACTGGTTTGTTCCACTTTGGAGTAAGCTGTTGGGGGAAGAATCAGTTGTCTTGCGTGTTTCCTGGACTGATGAAGTCTTCTGGATCGAATGCGAAACGTTTCAGCACACACAAAAAAAAAGAAACTGTCCAGATGACCTGACTGAAAAATGTTGGATTGTATATCTGGATTATTGAGCATGGACTTTGTTGTTGAATGAAAAAGTTTATCGTGGGGGATCTGGACCCTGAAGTCCCGCTATAAGTGAAATACTGTGAAGTAGGAATAGTAGTACAAGTAGTAAGTAGTAGTTATATATATATACTAAGGTGTTTTAAACCCTTCCCACACTCTTGCAATATTTTAAACAATGTTTCCAAACTAAACGCTCTAAAAGACACAGAACGTCATGATTTCCCTCCCTCTGCCTCCGCTGATCTCAGCCTGCAAGTGTTCTTGGCCACGCCCACTTCTCCGCTTTGCACGAGAACAGCTGATCAGCTGCAGGAGGAAGTTTATCCTCCAGCGTGGGCTGCACACAGGTGCAAAATAATTGTAAATAATTTATTTTAAATAAAAATTCCATGCTGATCATGCGGCTCGTCCATCAATCAGCCAGTTGTGTGTCATGTCCAATCTTATTTTGAAAAACCGCGATAGATAGCACCACAAATTAGCGAGGGACTAATGTAACTGCCTGACTGTGCTATTTTGTCTGTTAAATATTTCACAAATGAGTGGACGACTTTCAAATAAAGTAAATATAAAGTAAAGTAATGATTGGATGTTCACCTACAACAAATACATTTACGGAAGCAGTCCGATTTAAGATGGCCGCCACAGCTAAGTGACCTCAACAAACAGAAAGTGGCTACACCTCAGTTAATTTGACAGATATTAAGCTAAAGTTTGGTGTGGAAGATGATAAAGAGTCATCGTCAACACATACGGATGGATAGATCATAAATTTGTGTTTAAAACAAACAAAATCTGTCTAATGTTCTTATTTTCTGAGAAACTGAATCTGGAGTGTTCATTAGCTGTAAACTATAATCATCAACATTAACAGAAGAATTCTGTGGATAATTAGTCAAAATAAGAATTTCACTTTTTGAACTGAAATGACCTTTAATGATATCCAGATTTAACTGTTTTCAGATTATTCAGTTTGAGATTTCAGCAGTTTCGTTGGGGCTGAAACATTTTAAGCAGGCGCCCCAGGGGCAGCTGGTGTAAAGGTTAACAAAATAAAGTTTGGACGAACCATTAAAAAACTGAAGATGGCAGTAATTCACTTTGTTAGCTCGAGTTTAAAGAGCCAACAGATAAAATGTGAACCCCACTTTAAAAGATCTGAACTACTGCTTTAAGTAGCTCAAGAAGGAGGACAGCTCATTTTGCAGCTGCTTACGTTAGCACCATTAGTCTTCACTAAAGCAGCTGCTGCAGACGACGAGCTGCAAAAGAAAATTTCTGTAACAATTTAATTTAATGCTTGAAACAAAGTAGCTCAATTCTCCAGCGCACCTCCATAATTCCTCCACATTATCTCCCGCTTTGCATCTCTTCTCTCACAAATTAAACCGACCTTCCTTCCCCAACAGCCCCCCGGCTCCTTGGCTCCTCCCCCCCCCGTCCTCACTCACCGCTCGGTGCTGCTGGACCTGCTTGTGGTTGGTGATCACTTGCCGGATGCCGTTGACGAAGCCGCTCTGGTCGTTGGGGATGAGGCCCATGAATATTTTCTTCTTGGACGAGTACAGCAGCATCAGCACCCGCACATCGCACGGTGAAGTGGTGTGGGGGAAGTGGACGCAGCCCGCCTGCAGAGAGGGGAGGGCAAGGGTCAAAGGGCAGATTAACACCTCGACTGGCTGTTTTAACGCTTGGGGTCAAAAACTCCTGCCCAATCAAACACGTCCGCTTTATGAACTGAACGCAAACTTGATGCGTCCCGAGCCTTCGCCGGGACACACATGGAATTCACGGAGGCAGAACTCGGCTGGACGAAAATCTATTAATGCCTTTCCTGCTTCTCACCGGTACTTCCTGATTAACGCTGCATCACACTGAACAAGCCTAGAGAGAACGTTTTTATAGCAAATCATATTTATAATAAAATCTGTCTTTAAAGTAACTAAATCAGCGGCCAAGAACCCCCTCCAGAGTCTTTATACGACACTACAGGGAGGGTTCATGTTCCCGCCCCCTAGTGGACAGAAGTGAGACCTGCACTCAGAGAAATTAGACAAAACTAAAGACGGGCTCAGAGGAACAAAGATGCTAGATTGAGTAGAGACAAAGCGTCTAAAAACTCACAAAACCACTGCCCATGATGCGGTAGAGACCCCTGACAGAATCCAAGTCCTTGTTGGTGAAGAGAAACTGAACCATTCGGGAGTTCCTGAAGAGGTGCCCTAAAGTCGTCTGCAAAAATTAAACCGTTTAATGACGCATCGTTCAAAAGGAAGTCGTCGCAGCAAACGGAGATGAGCAAAGTGCTGGTCTCACCAGAAGCTGTTGTGGAATCAGCTGCATGATGAGCTTCTGTGGCCACTGCTCCGTGTTCCTGTGAGGAGACGAAACAAACACGTCAGCGGCTGTCGGAGCGAACCGCGGCTCTGGTCCGAGAGACGCCGAGACGTTACACAGCAGCCGAGACAACAATGGCTAAAACTCAGTCAGCTGTACTGGTATTATGAAAAAAAATCTGACGTGGGAGTCATTAACACAAAAACAGATTGGACATGTTGTAAGAGACCGTGCATAATATTTTCCAAGACTTAACCAAAATGGCTACAACGCCCTCGTTTCTCAACACAAGATGATCTTTGTCAAACCGTGACATGGTGAACAAAATGAATTTCTAAAGCTTGAACACATTTCTGACTCTAATCAAACGCTAAAACAGGCTGAATGTTTGAAGGAGTCACGAAGGGGTTTTTGAGCTAAAGAATAAAAACAGAGTATCCACTTTATTCGTGGGGGCTCTACTGTTTAAATGATTATGGGTACAACTTCCTGTTAGACAGGAAGTAGCAGTTAGCACTGGTTAGCCATGGTAGTGGAGCATGGACCGCGGTTTATTTGAAAGTAATTTACATTCAGTTTAGCAGATAAAACTCTGTTTTTGTTTTGTTCACATTTATTTAACAACCATAAAGTTTACTAAAATAGTCGTGCTGAGTTCAGGTACCTGTTGTGTTCACGGCTGCAGAACAACCAGACCAAGAAAATCTGTGGCTACAACAGAGTTTGAACACGGATCCAAAACAAAAAGAGTGTTTCTGTGTAAAGAGGTGTAGTTTCCATCTCCTACCTACAGTGACGAGAACATCAGGTCTGATTTCAGGTGTATGGAGGACACAGCTTTATAGAATTTGTTCTTCTTCAGTTTTATGATTTTATCTACAATTAACCCAAGCTCAGTGATGGAGGACTTTAAGGCTTTGTCTGGGCTCTGTGTCTGATTTAAGGTCAATAAGATTGTGTCCCACCTCTTTTAACAAAACACCACCGACCTTATTACTGTAGAGATACTGATACACCTCAGAGCTTTTCATGTTCATCGCTTCACTGTCAGAAGAACAGAGTCAATGAAGTAGCTAAAAATGCTAGTAGATGTAGCTAAATATGCTAGCAGATGTAGCTAAATATGCTAGCAGATGTAGCTAAATATGCTAGCAGATGTAGGTAAATATGCCAGCAGATGTAGGTAAATATGCCAGCAGATGTAGGTAAATATGCTAGCAGATGTAGCTAAATATGCTAGCAGATGTAGCTAAATATGCTAGCAGATGTAGCTAAATATGCTAGCAGATGTAGGTAAATATGCCAGCAGATGTAGGTAAATATGCTAGCAGATGTAGGTAAATATGCCAGCAGATGTAGGTAA